ACATCACCGCTCTTCGCCCCGCGGGAGAAAACAGAGCCACACTTCTGGCCAGCGTGGTTTTGTCCCCACAGCAGATAAATGTCTTGGGGGGGGGGGGCAACGTGAAAGGGGAGGGGAGCGCGCTGGCCAAGAGCTAAACAGCGGCGCCTCCCGCACTGTGGCTGCAGTCCAGACTGAGCCGCCCTGCATTGGCTTTATCCACCCTCCCGCCACAAAAAAACCCTCTTTGCACATCGCCAACGCGCATCGGTGTTGTGCCTGGATGCATTAAGAGGGAAGAATGTGGCGCAGGGTTACAGCATTAGGCAGGATGTGGAAAAACCTGAAAGAGTTTTAGAAGACTTGTGCAGTACTAGAACTTTCAGCTGGCGATCGCCAGACAAAGTGGATCCGCTGTGGATCGCGGGCTTCTCCCCGTGAGTCTTCTGACCTGCCACTTCCCCGCGGCTTCTGCTTCCAGATTCTTTCTCTGTGGATTCGAAGCGGGCCGGTCGCATCCTTCCCAGGTTCCGTCTTTCCTTGCCTCTCCGTGCGTTCCATTCACGGCCAGTAGGTGGCGATGCGGTGCAGCGCAAATGCTCCGACACGGAGCGTCGCGCGATGCGGTTCGTGGGAATGGCCGGCTTCGCGCCTCCGGGGGACGCGCGCGCGTTGTGCTGGCTGCGAGGGCCACGAGAGGCCTCGGCGGCGGAGAGCGGGGCAAACTCGTGGCGGAAGGATGCCGCCCGAGTGGCCGCAAGGCAGAGTAACGGGAGGGGAGCTCCCCGCTCAGGACCAGCGTGCTGCGCAATAACATTTGCCACGGGGGCGAAGGGGCTGCGCGGAAGAGGCCGCTGCCGTCATCCCTCCTCGCCCGGCTGAGCCTGGACTGGGGAGGCCGTTGGCCTGACCCGGCTGAGCTCTGACCCGACTGGGGAAGAAAAGCATGTGCCGACTGACCGACCGTGTTGAGCGAGGTGCTGTGCAAATGCTGTGTGTGGTGGCCCAGGCGCGGGCGCAGGCCAGGGTGGGGTGCGATGAGGCACAGGCGCTGCTGGCAGCGTGTACCGGATGCTGGTGAGGGGCTCGGTCCCTCGGCGCTCCTTCTCGTGGGCCCTGCACCCGGGTGGAGCCGGTTCCCGGAGGACCGGCCGGCTGCAAGCGCCTTGGCAGGAGCCACCCACACTTCTTTCTCTGCCGCCACGCCCGAAAATGCTCTGGGCCTGAGAGCCAGCTCCGCCGGCCCTCTCTTCCTCCAGCGCCATCCCTGCCACGATCGGTTCATACCGAATGCCCCGTGCAGAGGAGCGCCGGTTAAGGCAGACAGATTAGCGGCAGATCTATTGCGATTCCCTCGCTGGCTCGAGAAACCTTTACCTCGGCTGGGAATGAGCTCTGGCCCTGGCCTGGAGCCCGGCGTCGTGGTCCTGCTTGTGGACAGAGGCATCTCCATGGCGATGGGAATCCTCGCTCCATCCTCACGCGGTCGGTGAAGGCCATGTTAGGGGGCCACTGCGCTCGTCCCTGGGGGAGGGGGGGGAGGGAGGCAGGTGGAGCGCAGCCTGGGCCAGAGCGGAGATGCTAGTCCCCGGGGCCGCAGGGAGAGCGCATCCACATTTGGCTCGGTGCTCTCCCTGCCGCTCCCGCTGGGTCTCGGAGGGCTGGTGAAAGATGGGGCTCTTGGTAGCAGCAGCAAGTGTTTGCAATTAGCTTCGCCATATGGCGGATTTTGTTTTCTGCGTCTTCCAGGCAGAATAAGAGCCAAATATCTGGCATAGCACAATATCCAGTGTGGTGTTAGCTCATCTTACAGAAACCACAAGGCTTGTCAGAGTGAAGTGGTGATTCAGAAAATCAGCAGAGGAATCTCCCATCCATCACTGGGCCAGGAGCCCCCCGATGCCTCCGTTGCTCAGTGCACGGCCTGCCGCAGGATCTGACCTCCTCCGCTGGTATTTTGCCAGCGTAAGACTAGCCTTGTACTGCCCCCGGCGGGAGCAGCGATGTCCCTTTTGCCCTTCCCGGCTGCGTGTCGGATCGGGTGCGGTGCAGGGCCAGGGCGCCTTCCTTCCCACTGCCTCTTCCCTCCAGCAGCCTCTGGTGACCCTTTCTCAGGACAAGGAGCTTCCCTTTTCATCAGCTCAGGTCTCTTTAGCATTTAATCAGGAATTTGTTGGGGTTTTAAAAAATCTGCAACAATAAATAAGAATAGGAACCAAGGTTTAGAACAGAATCCTAATTTGGAAAACAGATGTACTGACTTTTGGGTAGTACAAGGCTTGTCTTACGGGGCAAAATGCTGTATTTGGCCCAAGCCTTTCCAGCGCTTTCGGGGAGTGAGGTGGAAAGACCTCCAGGGGCAGCTGTGGGCAGCTTGGGGGATGTCGATGCTTCGCTCACAAGGGGGCGGGCCGGCTTCTCTTCCATGTAATGGGGAAATCGTCACATGGCGCTATTTCCACTGGGGCATTCTGTGCAAAATTGAGCGGCATCGGTGCTGAACATCCTTGCTAGTGCTTGGAGAGACAGCAAATCGTCAGGAAAAAATCAAGAAATTATCCGCCTGTAGATCGGGTGGTAAGCTACCCAGTAAGTATTTGAGTTTGAGAATGCTCTCTTGAGAATTGTTGGAAATGGAGCCACTTCACAGGGACCAGGCGGCCCCGTTAACTTGCTGTGCCTTTGGGTGAGCATGAATTTCCGTCCCACACTCACAAGTAGCAGGCAGGAAGGGGCCGCTCATGAGTCCATGGATTTGCTTCCTCTTTACTACATATTTAGATTTCTGATGCCTTTGACGATCCGTTTGCAGTCTGAAAAAGCGCAGCCCAACACATGCAATAGGGAAGAGGGGCACCGGACGGGGGCGGTGGGGCCATGGCAGGGGTCTGCCTTGTGCTGAGCGAGAGCCAGGCAGGCAGGTCACCGTAACGCTTCCTTCGAGCTGATAGGGCTGCCCAGTCCAGACAGTGCTGCCAAGAGCCATCCCATCTGCCGTGGATGCCCCCTGTTGGATCCCTCCTTCCCATATAGCACTGCTGCCGACCAGGTGATGAAACTCATCCCGAGTGTATTCTGAACTTCCAGCTGGGGTTCAGAGACAGAGAGACTGGAACTGGAGACTCAGAACCATAAGTACGAGGTGCCCAGCTGCTGAGGTTTAACAAAGCTTGTCTTAATTTTCACAAGAGCTGAGATCTTGAAAGTAGATCCTCTTTGTTCTGCTCTAGCAGTTCGGTTCCTGCAGAGGCTGCTGACGTGCCCACAATAAACCTGCCATTTCTGGGACCAAGCAAGCCTAGTTCTTGCACCGCTGTGGCCATGAACTTAGGAAGTCTCAACAGAGGGGATGCTGGCCAGGGTGGAGGCAACATTGGCTGACGCTGGAGAGATGAAATAGCTTTTCGAGTGGGTATTTTGAATGCATCGAGCATCTGAAAAAATTAGTAAGTGCTCTATTCAGTTGTCTTTTGGAGAAAGCCTATTTTACCCAAAGAGCACATGAGGGGTTTTCCCTTCACAGACTAGAACCTGCAGGCCTTCCCATGAAATGGAAAGATCCAAAATTCCAAGAATCCAAAAGTCAGGACAGAGAGAAGAAAGCCCTGTTCACACAGTGTGTGGTCCTCTGCACAATGGAATTTGCTGCCACAAGATGGAGTGATGCTCCTCCAGCTGGACACTGCAAAGGGCTTCGACAGTGAATAAAACTCTCTGTAGCCCTTAGTTGTGCTAGCTGCATCTCACCTCCAGCCGCAGAGGCAGTAAGTGCCGCCAGGCGCTGGAGGGTGCGTGGGCCGTCTGACTGGTCCCAGCATGAACAGACGGTGGGACTGGGGGTGGGGGGTGAGGCGCGGTCTGATCAAGCTGCATCTCCAGGTGGTAGAACCCATCCTGCCCATGTACCCCCTCAGAGCTCAGTTGGAAGACTGCACAATTTAATGCAAGTACCGCTCCTGTGAAATAGAATAGGAAAATGTGTGTACATGCTGAACACAGCAGACCAGAACAGGGTTGCAAGCTGACTAGGGAAAGAATACTTGGCTTAAGCAGGTGTTTTTGTTCTCCTTTTTAATCTGGGAGCCCCTTGCCAGAACTTTTAATGCAAAAAACGGCCATTTGGCCTGATTGCCGATAAATCATTTTGAGCGAGGCAGGGGGCTTGGAGCAAAAGTCCCCAGCGCCGTGATAACTTGGCGCGCATGCCAGAACCGTGCGTTCAAGGGATGCACTCGACGCGGTCAGGCGGCCGGGCTCACGTGCCGAGCATCATTCTGCACGCTGCGTGGGAGCCCAGGGCGTGGAGGGGAGCAGCTCCTTCCCGGCCCCTACGTCGCCCTCTGCTGGGCAGGAGGGGGCAGGCAGAGGCGGGGGCAGCACCACCCGGTGACGCGGGGCTCCCCCGGTCTCGCCTCCTTCGGGTCCCCCAGCCCCTCACCAGCCACCAAAGGCTTGGGAATCCAGCTGGCATCACCCAGACGATGGCTGGCGCGGCACGTTCCTCCGCGACTCGCTCGCTTCCCGCGCGCTGGCTGTGTGCCTCCACGCGGATGCAGAGGAGCGTCCGGCCGGCCCTGTGCCTCCCCTGCCTGCAGTGCGAGGTAGTGGAGAAACCTGCTCCTTAACTGTACGAACTGTTTCTTAGCTGGCTGGGCCAGGCTGCCTCGCCCAGATCTGCCCGAGGAACCCAGCCCTCCGCCCGCTCCAAGCCCTGGACAGCCAGCGTGGCGCAGAGCCAGACGGAGCGGGATAAACGCTCCCTCTTGCGCTCTGCCGGGGCGATTCTGGGGCTTCCCTCCCAGGAAACACGGCGCCCTTTCCACCTGCTTCGGCCCGCACAAGGCGGTCGTCGCGGCGCCGCGCAGGTGAGAGCAGAGGGAGGCGCAGCGCGGGCCCCGCCGGCCCCTGCTGAGCCGGAGGGCCGGCGCGGCTTGGGCGCGGACGTGACGCCGCGGCGGCGGCGGGTCTTGTGCGGCAGGCTCTTCGCGGCGAAGTGCGGCACCTGCCTGGCGGCCATCGCGCCCAGCGAGCTCGTCATGCGGGCCCAGGAGAGCGTGTACCACGTGGGCTGCTTCTGCTGCTGCGTCTGCGAGAGGCCGCTCCGGAAGGGAGACGAGTTCGTCCTGAAGGGGGGCCAGCCGCTGTGCAGGAGCGACTTCGAGCGCGCGCGCGAGGTGCCCAGCCCGGCCAGCTCGGCCGCCTCCGACTCCGGTAAGCGGCACCGGCGGGCGGGCGGGCGGATCCGGCAGGGCCCCGCTGCCCTCCTGGCCTTTCCTCCGGAGCGGTTTCTGTTTCTAGTCCGATGACAGGAAGCCTCATCGGACTGCAGAAATCTGCATTATGCATTACGAGTTTGAAAGCATGTCTCCCCAGGAGTGTAAGGGAGGTAGCCACACTTAAAAAGCAATGAAAGGAACGGCATAGAACAACCATTGCTTAAAGAAATAAAAAATCTGTATCTGATTAAAATAACTCTGTGACTGCTTCATCCATCAATCATCTCGACCATGTCAGGAAGGTGTTCCAACTTCGGGCTAGCTTTTGCAGTGGAAAACGGGCTGCGTCACTTCAGCCTGCAGGACTGGCACGGTGGAATGCTCCTCCAAAAACAGAAAAAGAAACAAAGAGGAAAATAAAGGAAAATAAAAGCATCTCTGTTCATAGAAAAGTAGCGCACGGGAAGAAAAGCCCGTTGATTCTGCACAACTCAGGAGTAGCCAGTCCTTTGCAAAATCTACAGGTTGGATTCATGAAACTCTTAGCTGATTTGAGCCAGTTGCACATTTCTCTGTTCTTTCTCAAATTCACCCTCAGTCTTTGGTTGGGGTCGCAGGGTCAAGAAATGGTCAGGGGCTGCGTGTCCCCTTGAAGAGCAAGAACTCTTGACCCAAAGAACACGGGAGGCGAGCCCCTTACCCTGGAGAGGTCGGAGGCAGCAGAGCCAATCTGACTGGCGAGCGAGCACCGCAGGGCCGGAGGCTTCTGGTCTGGGCGGCTTTGAGGAATCAGGCTCAGGGGTCCGACTCCCAGGGCTTCCAGCCAGGGGGCTCAGGCTTAAGGGGCTTCTGGCTTTCAGCTTTCGTGCCGGGGCCAGCACCTCTGCAGCTCGCCGCTCTGACCTGCCTGACTTGGCTGGCCGCGCCCCTTTGCGCCGGTGCCCCCGCTGAGGTCCGTGGGGTGCAAGAGCGACGACAGGAAGGGCGGAGAACACGCCGTGCAGCCAAGGCTGGCTGGCTGGCTTCCGTCCGTCCATCCGTCCATCCGCCCTCGCTTTTACCAGCTGCAGGTGGAAGAGCGGGGACGCAGAGCGAGAAAGGAAATGAGGGGGCAGAGAGTGCGGGAAGAGCCGACTGCCTGCCTCTCGCTGTCAGGCGTTGCAGCACCATTCCGCTTGGGCCGGGCCGATTTTGAGCAGCGGGGCATCTGAAGGTGCTGCGGAGCAAATCGCCTTAGAACAAAATGGTCTGGAGCTGAACCGACGGAGTGCTGCCATCTGCTGGTGGCGTGTGGCGGTCCCAGCAAAGTGGAGCAGCGGGTCGTTCTGCCGAGGCAGAAGGAGCAGCACTGCAGCTGAGCGGGGAAGAGGCCACGGCTGCCTGTCCTTCCACCTGTCCCACAGCTTCCTCTCTGCAGCTCAGCTGCACATTTCTTCCTTTCGTTGGTTTATTAGATTTATATCCCACCTTTCTTCTTAAAAAGAACTCAGAGCAGCTTACATCCTTCTCCTCCTGCTGCTCTCAGTCTTATCCGCACAACCACCACCCTGCGAGGTAGGTGGGTTGGGCTGAGAGTCCGTGAGTGGCCCAGAGTCACCCCGCAGCTGGCTCCAGGGCTGAGCGGGGACCAGAACCCGGATCGCCTGCGGTCCCCTGCGCTTAGCCACGCCGCCGCGCTGGCTCTCTTGCGCCGCTTCCTTTCTGTGGACTTCCATCCACAGCAACAGTCCTTGAACAAAGCTCTCCCAGGCGGGGAGATTGGCCAGCTGCCCCAAGCCTGCCCTTCTGCACAGAGTGTGCTGAGCTCTGCCTGTCCCGGCTCCCTGGCCCATGTGCCTGCGCCTGAGCCTGCTGGGTGTGGGGGCTCCCTCCGTGGCACACGCTCGGCTGGCAGATGCTGCAGGCGGCCGACGGACGGCTCTGGCGCTGCTGTCCTTGCTCCACGGAGGCCCACTGGTCGAGGCCCAAGTTTCGGACTGAGAACCCCAAATAATTCTTGTTTCCAGAGATTATACTTCAGAGGTTTGAAAACTCGCGATTCCCCACATATCGCCTAGTGCATAGTACCCACTCATGTTTCCCTTGCTTGGAAACGTTTCGATGTGCCCGGTGGAATTTACTCAGAGGTGAGTTTCTGAAAAAGATGGGCTGCTGCGTTCTCCGGGCAGGTCGTGGTAATGCCGTTCCAGCCCCACCGTGTCCCTCCCACTGCCCTCCCGCCCCTGCGGGGTAAACCCCAGAACCTCATGGCATCGCCCTCATTCATTCTGAGAGCGTGTTTGTCCGAGTGGCAGAAGACTTTTCGAGGCAATGCGAAGAAGGAGCCGCCTGTGCCCATAAAGAGAATCTGCCAGCCGCCATGACAGCCCATCTCCTTCACTGGGGTGTGAGACAAGGGCTTATGCGTGGCCCTTTACAAGCAAGGCGCCCACTGCAAACTTAGGGCGACCGGATGAGAAAAAGAGGAGAAGTAGCCGAGTCGGGGAAGCGAAGCCCCATGCTGCCCGCAATCTGCAGCGCCCTCCCTTCAGACTCCCTCCCCTGAGCCCCAGTGACCAAGCCTAAGCAAACAGGCGCTTGTGAAAGCGGAGCTCCCTTTCCAATTAACTTGGGACTAACATTTCTCCTTCCCCTAATTCCCTCCGACCAAAGAATTTCTCCATCTTCCTCCACGAAGCCAATTCTTCATCGTTTTCTCCCGTTGAGCCTTGGGGTTGCCCAGAGGTCACTGCAGACAATATGCGCCACCTGTAGTCCTTTCCCATGTGACATCGGGAGGAGTCTTAAAGATTAATTAATTCCTACCCTGCTCATGGAAGGCTTGAAAAGCAGAGTTAATTAAAAGCTCTGCCACATTAAAGCAGAATCAACTTTCCTTCACTGGGAGAGACGTGGTGAGCAGGTGTCGGGAGGGGGGGCACCGTGCCACGTCCCTTTCATGAGGGGGCTCCCTCCGCCACCTCCTCCTCCGCAGCAGGCGTCCCCTCCGCCATGTCGAAGCTTTTCCCATTTCAGTCTTCGATATAATCAGATATGGGAAATATTTCATCACTCTGGTTTTCTGCGCAAGAGAAACAGGCACTCCTGGCAGGAGCAACATGCCATTTAAGGGCAAAAACAGGATCAGGGAAATGTTTGAGGGCTCCAGGCAGAAATCTGGTAATAGGGTAGGGAAGGGACAAAACCAGGCCAAGCTGGGGTGAGTTCTGGAGAGCCACGAGGGCCCGGCTGCCTTGCCCTGAGGCACCGAGGTGGATTCCATGCGGCTGAATGCGTGGGCTTCCCCCTGAGAACAACTCTGGCCACCTCCCCAAAGAAAGCGTTCACAAGGCAGTGCTTTGCCAGGCCCCGGGGCTTACAAGGGTCGCTGAGCCATAGCGCATCCCCCAACACACACACACCCACACCCACACCCACACCCACACACACACAGTTTGTCTTTTGAGATTCCTAATCTGGGTTGGACTTCCCATTTCAATCCTTGGTTCTTCTGGAAGAGGTCTCTTGTTTTCCCTCTTTTGCTCTTCCCTCTTCCTCCTCCCTCTTCCCTCCCCTTCCCTCCCCTTTTCCCTTGCCTTGCCGTCCTCACGGTTCTCTTGCCTCTCCATGACTCTCGTCCGCTCTTTTCGCTCCAGGGATTGCCTTTTTGGCATTCTTCCCTAGTCAAGTCTCTGGTTTCCATCCACAGTTCTGGCTCATGGTCATTTTAGTTGAGCAGTGCAGATCTGTTTTTTAAGTGGCCTTTAAATTCCTTAGGCAGGAATTTAGGTTGTATTTTGGCATAGTACTTCTTTTGGTGATCTCTTTTAGCTTCACTCTGAATTTAGAAGTCAAGAGTTTATGGCTTACTGCTGCAATCCGCTCCCAGTCTTGGCTTGGCAGCAAGAATGCCGCTTGTCCACCTATTCCGTAAATTATACAGCCTCTTAGATTTCCGTACTGGCCATCTGAGGCCCACGCATACCGTCACTTGAAGTATGCATTCAAAGGCACAGTTTGGCAGCACAAAATTCTACCAGACGTTCTCCTGCTTCGTTTCTTACCTCCAGGCCAAATTTTCCTACCTTTGCTTCCTGCTTTTGCACCACTGTCCCCTTGTCTTGGTGTGTTATCAATTTTATTTATTTATTAAAACATTTCTATGCCGCCCCACACAACATAACGCAACATAAAGTACAATAAAATACAAAAATAACAATATAAAATTAACAATATAAAATAAATAACAATATAAAAGAATTCGCCGTGGCCAGACAAATAAGCAAATATTGTTAACAATTAAAATGACGCTTAAATAAAAAGCTGTTCAATTTCCCTTGAACAGCTGCATAAAAGCTTTCAATTTCTTTTTCAGCATCTGTTGCTGGAGCCTAGACTTGAATGGGGGTTCTGTCGATAGGTTTTCCATACATTCTGACCGATAGCATTCGGTCAAATTTTGCCCTATAGGTCCTTCCTGCCTCCTGCCTTAGTATCAGAGCCGCACCATCTCTTCTGATTTTCTCATTTCTGGAGACTTTGTATTTGTCTGATGGAAAACGTCCCATTCTGGCCCACTGTATTTCACGGGCACCAAGTTGTGCCATTTTTAACTGTTCCACTGCCTGCTTTACGGTTTCCAGTGTGCCTTGATTCATACCTCTCAGGTCGCAGGTGTTGCGCAGCATCAGACCTTGCCTCCGCCCCGGCCTTCCTTCCGGCTTTGATCCAGTTGCGTCCTGAGCAGCAGCGCTGTTCCTACCTGCCCTTGGCCCTTCCCCAGCAGCCCGTTGAGCGCCTTCCCACCCGGAGCCTCGTCTTCCGGTGCTGCCTCTTGTTTCATTTTGGATCGTTTCGGCACGGGGTTTCCTAGGGAAGAAGATCTGGGATGACCTACCTTTGCCTCCTTCCACACAGTGCTCTCAGGGTCAGCTTGAGCATCGCTGCCGTTGCCTGTGAAAGGCTAGTGTCACCTTCACCTGCTGCCGCTGCCTGGGAGCTGCCCCTCAGCTGTTCCCCTGGCCCCATCACACTCAGAGAGCGCCGTGCTCTCCTTTTGATGCGACCGTCACCCGCAAAGACAGTGGGTGCCTCCTAGTGTTTCAGCTTTGACTGTTCCAGCTGGGGTGACCCTGTGAGGAGACCAGCCGAGCGAGAGGGTCTGGCCTCCATCACTCTCAGCTTTCCCTCCCCCCCCCCTCAGACCTGCTCCCCACGTTAAGTTGTGCATCCGAGAGGGGAAACCCAGACCTAGTTTTGCACGTACACATGTGTCTGGGGCGCGGCAAATCGGGACTGGCTCTGATTGGTGGACCGTAACAGTCTATTAAGAACAGACTAGGTTCTGTGAGAGAAGCCAGGCAGAACAGAAACCGGAGGACCTGCCTCTGCGAAACGATTTTCTGGCCCCATTTGTGTGAATTGTGTGGGTGGAGGGAATTCAGCATAGCACCTTTGGGTATGAAACTTTTACTTACATTTTAAGCAAAGACACTCCTGGGATGGATCCCATATTTTAAGGTAGAAGTGATGATGAGGAGAGCCTACGTAAAACGGGAGAAGGTCCTGGGAGAATTTCGGAGGAGACCAAGGAGCACAAGCGACCGAAACGACCCCGGACAATCCTGACGACGCAGCAACGCCGGGCGTTCAAGGCATCGTTTGAAGTTTCTTCAAAGCCATGCAGGAAGGTACAGATCAACAGTCAGACGATAAGGGAATTATATTAGAATTAGAATTATGTGTTATAATTAGAATTGCTGGAAGTGCCTGGTTTAGAGCAGCAAGGATTTAATTGTGATCATACAGGGAGTTATTTTCATAATTCATTGCTATTGTGATCTGAAAACAATACACACACACACATATATGGGTTTGCACTAATTTGCACCTATCAAGAGGAATGAAGCTACCACTCATGTACCAGGGTTTCCCAGATGCTTAACCATAGTCCTAAACCAACACAAATAGAAATATTAAAAGCAGTGTAATAAAGGCACAGGTGATAAGCTTTCCAGAGGTGAGAAAAGGTAGCACAAAGTCCAGGAAATCCTCAGTGTGGTTAACATTTAGAGTCAAGGCAGGTATTCTGGAGAAGGAAGCTTCCTTCAAACATGGAAGACTTGGCCAGAGGAGGAGGGAAAAGACCCACTGGGGACCACGAGCTTGCGCAGCCTGAGAAGCACGAAACAGTCCGAGGGGCAGGTCACTGGCAAGATGAAGGCCGTTTTAAAGATCCCGAGAGAAAGACAGTGGCTAAGGAGGCAGCTGGGCCACCGGATGCTAATGGAAATCCCAGAGTGCTGAGCGGGCGGCAGAGCAGCTGGAGGAGTTCTTTTTGTCAGTCTCCGCAGCAGAGGATCAAGTCCTCCAGCTTCTGTATTCTGGAAGGGAGACCCAGGAATTGGGGCCGATAGCAGTGACAAAAGATGGAATTCTCAACCTTATTGACAACCTAAAAGTCAGCAAGGCACCTGGTCCAGGTGGTATCCATCCTAGATTTCTCAAAGAACCTTTTTACAGAAATATTGAATAACTTCCTAAAATCAGCCCTTGAACCAGAGGATAGGGGTTCAAGGGCCAGTGAAACACCAATTTTTTAGAAAGGGATCTGAGGGGACCTGAGAAATTACAGGCCAGTTCACTTAACATCTGTTCTGAGTAAACTGCTTGAAAGCATTACTGAAGACAGAACCAGCAACCACATAGAGGGACAAGTCCTGCTGAGAAAGAAGCATGGCTTCCGCAAGGGGAAGTCCTGGCTCGCTAATCTATTGGGGTTCTTTGAAATTTGAATGCTGAAATTCCAAAGTATTGAATTTTTAATATTATGTTATTTATGTTATATTTTACATTGTAAGCTGTTCTGAGGCTTTTTTGTGACTAGGATGGCATATAAATATTTTAAATAAATAAATAATAAAATAAATATTTCTGAATTGTATGAGAAACTGAAGAATAACGTACAAATTTTGAGCTTTTATGGCAATATTAAATTTTATTTCAGTAATGCAAAGCCTATGTCATCAGGATTTTGCTGATAATTTTGTTTCTTATTAAAGTAATTATGTCTGTTCTAACATTTTGCAAAGGTAAGAGAAACACTGGCTGCTGAGACAGGGCTGAGCGTCCGAGTTGTACAGGTCTGGTTCCAGAATCAAAGAGCTAAGGTAACAACCTTTCTCATTAAATCACATAACTATATTCTTCAAATTCTACTTTGAATTCTGTTTCCCTTCAACATGATGCTCATATTAGTGCATTTCCTAAACATGGAGGCTCCCTTCCTAAACCACCAAAAGTCATTCCCCTGCGCAAGATCGTGTTGGCGTGATCGAGGCAGAGGCGCAAGAAGTCCTTGCTGTCTCCAGTGCCACAAAATAGTTCTAAAGTAGGCGGTAGCCCTTGTGCTGCCTGGTTTGGTCCAGGATATTCCCCACTGTTGCTCAAGTCACCTGTTCATGTACTTTATTGCCACGAGCTTCTCGGAAACCCCAGCAGCTGGGAAGGGCCAAGGGAGCGACCCTACACATGGTGCTGGCCATCTCCATATTTCATGGATCAATCAGGGTCTAGTGGCAGGAAACTCTTCTACTCCGTAATGAGGTGCAGCTTCAGACAGAGCAAAGGTAAGACACCTGGCAAGAGGCTGGGTAGCACAGGGAAAGCGGCTTCTTAAAATACAGCAAAGCAGAAATCAGATTTCAAAGGGTAACGATGCAGTATATTTCATCAGTGTCAGATGCAGAAATAGACACCCCGTGATCACCATTAGCAATGCAGCCAGCAAGGAACAGGGTTGGCGCCTTCTAACCTTTCCTCCCGGTTTGGCCACAGATGAAGAAACTGGCCCGACGGCAGCAGCAGCAGCAGCAGGATCAGCAGAGCGCGCGGAGGCTCCCGTCCGGTAAGGCCTGCCGTCAGCCTCCTCCTGTTACCGAGGCTCTCTCTCGTTCGCAGCTTGGTCGCAGCAGCGTCCTCACCTGAGGTGCTGAAGCGGGAGCTGGGTCCTTTTCCCTGGCAGGCGCCCGGAGTTGTTAAGCCGGAGGACTGAATGCAGTCCTCGCTTGCCTCCTTTTGAATTCCGGGTCACAAGTCCAATGACAGGAAAAGTTGGGTTTCATCTACCTTTCATTGCACCACGAGGCAGAAGGTGGGCAGGAGGAAAGTGGGGACACACCAGGGCAAGATCAGTGGCTGCTGGCCAGTGGGACTCGCTCTTCGGCCGTTTTTCTGCATCACGTGGCCCTCTTCCTTCTTGTCCTTGGGAGCCAAGCTTGCCCTGGGGATGCTTGAGGAGCCGTTTCTTGGCTTGACGGAGCTGCAACAAGATCTGAGGTCCATGACGCTTGGCTGTGGACGTCGGACCTGCCAGCTGCCCTGTCTGACCCCAGAGGGCCCAAAGCATGTAGGAACAGGTGGGCCTTCCCACCTTGAACTTGCAGGTAGGGGAGATAGGAGAGCTGAGGATCCCTGGTGCTGGATGCATGAGGTTGGAGGGCGTTGGGAGAGAAGGCAGAGAAGATCTCGCGAGCTCACCTCTTTGGCTCTCCCGTGTCTTCCAGCTCAAACAAACGCCGCCGGCAGCACCGGGCTTGACGGGATCATGACCCCCTACGCCCCGTTGCAGCCACCCCAACAAATGCTGGCCATTGATCAGAGTGTCTGCGGCCCAGAGCACTTCCAGCGAGGCCTCACACCACCGCAGATGCCGGGGGACTACCTGCACCCCTATGGTAGGAACGGGGGGGGGGGCAGGGTCTGCATGTGGCAGACTCCGAGGCGGCCAACACAGAGTCGGGGTTTCCCCTGCCTTTCCCTAAAAGTGCCTGTGTGGCCCATTCAGTGACTTGACTGGGCCGCAAGGGACCCCTTAAAGCAGGAGTGGGCAATTAATTTCCCTTTGGGGCCACATGAGAAACTTTGACAGTTGTTAAGGGCCAGACCAATACACTGACAGCTCTGCTCAATATATGTCTCTATAAAAACAGTAAATGAAACATTGCAATGATACAATGAAAATGTGGAGCACAGAACAACACTATTTAATGAATATTCACAAAAACATTAACATTACATGAAAAGCAATAAATTCAATTCAATTTAGCAGATCCTTCAAAATAAAAGGAGTGCAGTTGTATGGCTTGCATCTATATTACGACAATATATATTTGCATTGACTTTTAATTTGCCAGTGACCTCATGCGGGCCAGTCGGGGTCAGCCATCGGGCCGGATGTGGCCCATGGGCCGTACGATGCCCAGGTCTGCCTTAAAGGATGCCAAGAGCCCATGATGGGAACATCTTTTCTCCAAGCAGAGGAATTTTCAGAGCTCTTCCAAGGCGATGATTATACTGGGACTGGGAGACCAGGCTTAAGTGAACGGGGTATGGGATTTTAAAAATAAATGGTGTTTTCCTTATTTCCCTGATTCATAGAATTATAGGAGGGTAGAGTTGGAAGGGGCCAAAAGGCCTTTGGGTCCAACCGCCTGCTGTTGCAGGACACCAGTTTACGCCATCCCATGCAGGTGACTGTCCAGATGCTTTTTGGATGTCTCCAGCGAGGGAGAGCCCACAACTTCTCCAGGCTATCAGTTCCATGGCCGTACTGCTCCAAGAATGAGGATGTCCTTCCGGGTGTCTAGTCTAAATCTGGTTTCTTTTAAATCTGTTATTCCCTGTCCTGTGCTCTGGAATGAGCAAGCAGAGATCTTGTCCTTCCTCTTTGTGATAGCCTTCCAGGAACTGACAGAGTACCAGACTGTATGTGAATCCATATCCATTTTGGACCTCGAAAATGCTGGGTGGCAGAACTGAGAAGGGGGCGCTCCTGCGCAAAGCGCACTGAAGGGCATGGGAGGGGGCACGGGCACCGCTGCGTCCACTCATTTCAGCAGCCCTGCATGTGGGTGTTTCCCCTGGGATGCGCCTCAGTTTATTTCTTTCTCTGTCCTGAAGGTTCTGAGCCCCTTTTCTGCGAGCTGAGCAGCGACGAGGCCTCGCTCAGCAACCCAGGCGATTGCTTCCTAGCGATGGTGGAATCTGGACCCTTCCAGTCACGGATGGAAAACCCGATTGACCATCTGTACTCCATGCAGAGCTCCTACTTCGCTTCTTGAGTCATCTGTGGCCCAGAGCAGACCCAGCATGGGACTCGTTTCCAGCTTCCAGTGGAACATGATGGTTCAGTTCACTGGGCATCATCGTATAGAACAAGGAACTGACGGTTATTTTAAGTGTTTGGAAACGGCGAGCTTCGTTTCCCATTTGGAAAATCTAGTGGAAACCAGACACATTTGTGAAGAATGTTTCAAAACTCTGTTTGCTAACCAATGTTTAGTACAAATTTCAGTTTAAATTTTGAACTTGTCCAGGAAGAAAACCATGAAACAGTTTTTCTTGTGTTTGTTTAAAATTCTCTAATGCAAGTTGCAAAAAGTAGTACTTTTGGTTTAGGGTAGATCCGCAATAAATATTCCTATCCTTAAGTTTTTGGGTTGAACTAGCAATTGGGGTGAGTTGGAAATACTTACCGTTGTCCGATGTGCCCTGTTTTGCAATCCGTTCTGGCACCATGGTTTCACATGGCTGCTGCTGCTGCTGCTGCTGCTGCTGCTGGGATGCATTTCCCCCTTTGGTTGCCATTTCTCTCTCTCCCCTCCATTTGCCACAGCTGTGAATGCACCCATTAGGAATCACATCCGGTACGGGATGGCATCAGACTATTAGGAAGCCAAGTAGGTTTGACTGCTGGGGGCCAGAGAGAGTTGCAGCAGTTTAAACAAATAAGTGAGCATTTCTGCAAGAACAAACAAGTGAGAATGGAAGGCTGCTGAAAATGTTTGACTGACTGATAGATGCTGCTGAAAGTCTCTGTAAAAGAAAACAAGCAGGTATAGGAGACTGGAAACTCATTAGCTCTCCCACTTTAACATGTGAAATACTGGCAAGACACAAGAATGTTTGTGTAGCGGGCCATGTGGCTGAGTGAACACGCGTGCAGGTGAGCTGTGCATCCCGTGTTGTATCAGGGGTGTTCCTGATGACAGAAAAGTACTGTACACTGCAAAAAAAACCCCTTTATTTTCTGTGTGAACCCTATTTAAGCAATTGTTCAATGCACTTAAATTATGGAATGGAAAACACAACTTTTAAAAATAAAATACCACGTTTGGTTTGCAAAGACTGCAGAGCAGGGAGGGGAAGCCATCTCGCCTGGAGACACGTCTGCGCTCCCGTTTCCCCATTCATTGCAAATGGAAAGCCGTGCCTGGAAGTGCCGGGGGGTCCCTGTGCACGCGAAGCAGCCCCGCTGAAATCAGGCTGCTCCTCTGACTGCAACGGAGCCGGGGCGGCCCCGCGGTGGCTCCGTGGGGAAGGATGGCTGGCAAGACCCTGTCGGCTCCGTCGGGGAAGCGGAGTTGGCCTGATGTTCTTGGAGCAAACGGGCCGGAAGGCCGTGCTCTTCCAGGCCACGGGAGAGCAGGCGTCGGCAGTTCTCGCCGGGCTGCGGGGCGGGAACGCTGTGCAGATTGCACGAGCTGCTGCGGCAGTGAAAGAGTCGCGGGGCCGCACCTGATGCTGGACCACTAGGAGCTGGAAGAGTCGATTCCCCCCAGCCAGCAGAACCTCGGTTATTTCTAGCGGCTGTGCGAGTGAAACAGCGGACGGGTGGAGTTGCAAAAGCCCAGCGTACTGTGGGAATCCAGCAAGAACCCTTCATGCCTGCAGGCCGCATTCTGCCGCTGCTAGAGGAGAGGCCTCCAGCGAATGCCGCGGCCTGTGGCCGTACGAAGATGTTCCTCTGGGCAGCAGCCGAGCTCGCTCTCTTGCTTTGCGTTGTAGGACCTGCTTGTGCAACCAAGCAGCGCCGGTCTCTCTTGCACTCTGACCCAGCCAATCCGCATCCGACCCAAAGCCCCAGAACACCTGCCCATGCAGGGAGTCTGGGGAGCAGCCCGCAGGTTCCTCGCCCGCTGCCTTTTCCCTCTGGCACCACGGCAGGCGAAGAAGGGCTGAGAACGGCCACATCCCGAGGAGGCGGACTGACCGTGCCCCCCTCCGCACCATGGGCTGCAGAGTCGTTCTGTCGCCCAGTGCCTCCACCGCCTGGCACTCCGCGATTGGCAGAAGCTTGAAGCTGGAGACGGGCCTTTCGGGCTCGAGGGCAGGCCAGGAGCAAGCCCGCTGCTTGTGTGCATGTGCTTTTCCCCCAGGCAAACTGCCTTTGCAGACGTGTGGGTCGTTTCAAAATCTGCTTGACCCAAATTGGCCACAGGATGAAAGAGGAACTGAAGTCTTTCTTGGACTATTTCAGCAATTCAGAGGTGTGTCCAAAGAAAGTACCTCATATTCTCGAAGAGCCACCCGTATAAATGGCTAAATAATCTAGATTGCCAGTGGAATTCATAAAGAAGGGTGGCGTGTGCTGTCGTGTTCGGAAGCTCCCGGGACCAGGCAGGTAGTCAACGGAGATGAGCAAGAAAGGCAGAGCAGCACAGGGCCTGCGGGGCATTCGAGGGGCAGCGGCTCCCACCTCGGGCCCATCAGAGCAAGCGGAGGCCGAACACGGGTGCGCACAACCACGGATGTCAGCGGCCAGCTCTTGCGCGACGGCCCGTTGCTCGGAAAATGGGTTTCTTCCACGGATCTGGTCTGTCACATGTGAGCTTTACCGACCAGGCGACTGGGGACCCTTGCACAGGAGGAGCTGATCGTGTGGCGCCCCGTGTGTGGCTTTGCCTGCACAGGACGGCGTCCGGAGCACCTGCCTTCCCCACCAGGTTCCTCTGCGCGGGGCCAGTGCGGGCCAGGCGGGGGTCTCCCAACCACTCTGGGCCTGCCCCAGGCGGCCTTCCGGGCTTTTCCTTCTTGGAAACGGGACCCTCCTCGTCAGTCAGCTGCAGAGCCCCCAGTGGGGCCGTCAGGAATGAATGGTCAGCGATGCTTCTGGGGGAGCATCAAGGCCCCCCCTTTCCGTGGCTGGCCGGAGAAGGGTGCCCTGGCCACTTGCAAGGCTCTGGTAATTCTTCTGCGCTTGCAGGGCCGGGAGAGCCGGGCCCCTCATGGCGCGCGAGGGCAGGGATGACTGAACCTGAAGGCACACTTGGTTCCGGAAGAAAGCTTCCCTCTTCGCAGCTGCACCGTCCGCGGAACCTCGCGGAAACAATGTGAAACTTTTGTCAGGGTAAAACCGTATTTGCATGGGGACTTTGCTCCTTGCCGCCTTCCTCAGACCATGGTGCTTCTGTTCCTTTGGAAAAATGCATTCTCTTTAAGGCCTCTGCCGAGGTTCGTGCAAGCACAGTCTCCTCATCCCTATTATAGTTTGTGTTGTATATTAATATTATGCTCTTTATTCATAAATTATGTAAAGAAAAAATGTTGAATGGAAACTAACTGTAATGATTTGGGCTGTGTTAGATTATACCCTGAATGTAATAGAATGTGGGGAGATGTTGGAACTGACACATGGATGGAAATGCGATTATGAGATTAAATGGGCGAAAAGATCAACCGACCAAGTGCCTGATGCTTTGCTGGAGTTCCCTGGAGCGCTGGTGTGGAAGGCCGGCCAGGGGTGTGAAGCTCACACAAGCCAGGGATTCTCCGCATGGGTTTGGTGCCAACTGGCACATGCTCTCAGTTCCATCAGAGCACAAAGGACCATGGGAGGGGAGGGGAGGGGAACGCTGCTCTGGATTGAGCTAGGATGAGCCCCCAGCTGCTCTCGGCTGCCCTGCCGCACAAACGCCCTTGGCTTGGGGCAGGACTTAGCCTCTCGGGGTCCGTCTGTTGCCACCTCTTCCCACTTGACCCGGCTCCGTGGGCACACGGAGTGGCAGGTGAGCTTCTGGCAGGGGAGCCCTCTGAGCCTCTTCCTCTCCAGGCTGAAGAGACCCGGCACCCTCAGCCGCTCCCGCACTGCAAACCAGCCACCCTCCTAGTGGCCCCTCGCTGCACCAACACCGACCTTAGGATTCAGTCACCCTCGAGATGCACGAGGGTCCCATTCTGCCTGATCGTTCACAAACGGAAGCAGAGCAGCTCAGGGCAGCTCCACCTTCACACTAGAGGTTTTTCCCATCACAGGTAGCTGAGCGAGCGGGCCACACCTGCCCACCTGCTGAGCGGAGGCATTTCGGTACCTGCGCAGCACCAGCCTCTCCTGGATCCGGCGTCTGGTTGCCTCATAATCTTCTGGTTCATATGAAGTACCTTCTGCAGCAGTTTCATAACCCCAACCAGACCCGGCATCTAGTGTATACTCTGCTGCCCAAGAGTGAGAAGCAGCTGTAAGTGGGTCCTATGCACGGCTCTGACTCTCAGCCTTCCAGTGCCAGATGCAAGCAGCATTTCCGGCTGCTTGGCCCAGAGCTGCTTGGCCCTGTGCCTCCAACACGTTCCATGGCCGCAGTCGCTCTTCGGCCTTTCTGCTCTGCCGTTCTCCGAGGCCTCTCTGGAAAGCCCGTCTCCATTTCAGGCCTGCTCAGAGCGCACAATAAATCCCCAGTCCCCCCGGCCGGCCCTGATGTGGGCGGCTCGGCCAGCCCCTAATGCTGAGTTGGAAGGAGTCTCCTTTTCCAGATCATTGAGCAGCAGCACCTATGGGAAGGGAGAGAATATTTCCAGGGAAGCAACGCGCCTTCCGCATGTTCTATGTGAAACCGAGAGCAGGTCCCTTGCACAGTCGCCCCACAGCAGGAGTGAGACGCTTGGCAAATCTGGCAGTGCCTTCTGGGATCCCCCGAGTTTGCTGCCACCGTTCTGCATGCTGCCTGCAGCTGTGGGTAGAGGAAGTCTCTCTGCAGAGACCTGGGCATTGCTCGGCTACCGAGGAAAAGGGAGGAGAGAGGGAGGCATCTGGCCTTCCTGACCCAGTGGCAACCTGGAAAAACAAAGCCCCCATTCTTCCCAGGAGCCCCTGAGAGTCAACAGGAGATCGGCAGAGATTACCTTTCAGGTAGAGATGCTGACTAGATGCTCCCGATAGGAAGGAGCAAGCTTGCTCTGCCGATATGCTAATGAAGCTGCTTCCCCGGAAGAGGCGGTGGAGCCTCTTGCCAAGCAGTCAAAGGGAATGAATTGGAAAGCAGACCCCGCTGGAGGAGCGGCATCAGGACAGCCAGGAACACCTGGAGGGAGGAATGGCAGGAAGGAAGGCTGCCTCCCACGTGCCCGTAGGTCGGGCGGATCTGGCTGCTCGCGGGTGCTCTACC